TCACTGCTCATCTTTTTTATCTTCTTTTTCTTAGTTAAGTCCCTTTAACATTTCATATAATAAGGGCTTGGTGATGATGAACTCCTTGAATTTGATCTTATCTGAGAAGCACTTTATCTGCCCTTCCATTCTAAATGAAAGCTTTGCTGGATAGAGTAATCTTGGTTGTAGGTCTTTGGATTTCATGACTTGGAATACCTCATTCCAGCCCCTTCTTGCCCGTAAGTTCTCTTGAAAAATCAGCTGATAGTCTGATGGGAACTCCTTTGTAGATGACTGTCTCCTCATCTCTTGCTGCTTCTAGGATTCTCTCCTTCATTTTAATCTTGGCTAATGTAATGATGATGTGCCTTGGTGTGTTCCTTCTTGGGTCCAGCTTCTTTGGGACTCCTTGCACCTTCAGTGTGTCTAATGCCTTGCACCCCCAGTAGGTCCACCCACTTCTCCACACCTGGGATCCGCCCACAGCTGCTGGTGTGCCTGGGTTGGTCTGGTGGATCTTTCCTGCCCGACCCCACTCTGATGCTGGCTCTGCCTGTCTTACTGGTTTGGCTGAAGGGTTCGTTGTTGTCAGACTTCTGTGCAGTTCAATTTTCTGTGGTGTGGCTGTGTTTTTGTTGCTAAAACTTTGTTGTTTTTAAACTTGGTTGTGTGAGAAGGCCCAGTGCTTCCACCTACACCTCCATCTTGGCGGAAGTCTAGTTTCCTGATTTTCCAAATGAGGAAGAAAGCAAAGTTCAGAGAGGTGAAGTGGATTGTCTGAGATCAAGCATATTGCATCAGATCTGGAACCCTGATTTCCTAGAACCCTGATTTTCTATAGCCCAGTATTCTGTCCATTTGTATTTTGTGGATATCTGTGCATTTGACTGTTCATCTGTGACCCCACTCCATGGTCTTCTGGATCAGTTGATTGTTCTAGGCTTAAATCCTGATCAGAGCCAAGCCAGTCAGGTTTCCCTATCTTCCTGAGTCTAAGTGATGGCTTCTGAAAATGTTAAAACTAATAAAGAGAGGAAGTCTCTCTGGTGGCTCAAGTTGACAGGCGACCGGTTGTGGAGCAGTTGTTGGGCATCACCATCCAAAGTAGAGGAACCTATTTCTAGCTGTTCCTGAAACCTGTCACATCCCTACTTTTCAAGAAGTTTGGATTTTTTTTCTCTTGGGTTCTTTGAGCCAACAATCATCTTTTTTATTTGAAATCATTGTAATTGGGATTTGGCCCTAGCAATAAAAATAATATAGATTAATACTCCTGTTAACTTCTTTATTTTAATACATATAGTGATTCTCCTTAAAGATTATGGAATACACACAGTAAGTCATTGTCTCATTTGTTTATAGTCTGAGTTTACAGTCTAAATAAATGTGCAGATTGTACATATTTGATCACAGTGACTGTGTCTCTTACCATCTGTAATTATAAATTCTTTCCAGATCAGTTATAGACTTCATCTATTTTACATGTTTTATTAAGGTGAATGAATCTTAATTTTATTATTTCTTTATTTCTTTAATCTTCTTAACTTATTTTATGCAACTGTTTGCATATATATTAGTAAGATTTTGCATAGTCTTAGTTTGTTAGTATTTATCAACAATTTTCTATATGGATATAGGAAGCCTCTAGTATGGTGCCCAACAAGACACTTCATGTTAATTTTTCTCTTCTTACTGGGAACAATGAGAAATAGTATTTCCTTTTATACAAAGATTGTTTGACATTTTAACTTGGGAAATTGACACCCTGTCACCACCGCCACCACCCAACTGCTGCATGTCAGTGGAGCACTGGCTCTGGCTGCTGTAGAAGGTTAATCAGGTAGGGACATTAATAGATTTTGTTCAACATGATCATCTTTGAGAGTCAGCAAAATGCTATAAAGTATCTGTCATCAGTATTACTACCACCAAATGTTTAAATAGCACCTTAGAGGTTACAAAGTTCATAACCAGTCCTCACAACAACCCAAAAAGATGTCTTCTAATATCCATGATTTATAACTGAAGAAGCTAAAGCATGTTTTTTTTTAATACATCTTGCTTAAGAGCAGAATTGCTAACCTGAAACTCAAAAAAAAAGTCTTCTGAGTAGTTTTTTTTTTTAACATCACGGTGAAAATATGAAATCTGAGTACATCCCAAGAAAAAATTAGAGCCTCGAGATAGTGCCAATCATTGTTTCATTAAATTATTATTGAATTCATACCAAGGATGATGAGCCCACATTATAAGCTCCCAGTGTGATCCAGGGCCCCATGCCCTTTCAGAGGGCTCACAGGCTATCTTATCATCCTCATACCATACACCCCCATGGCAGGAGTGTGTGGGTGTATGTGTTTGTGTTGAGGAGGTTGGGAATGGGGAAGGTGGTAAATGAATGAAAGCACTTTATTAGTCACTAAGGGGGTTTCAAAGGTAAATCAGATTCCCTCACTCCATAGTCTGTATAAAAGTCACTGGAGCAGAGAACAGATTCAGTTCATGGGAGGAAGAGGAACCAGGAAGAACATTTCATAACCATGGACCTAGGGGAAGTCTTGGGGAAATGGGATACAAGAAGTCCAATTTGGCTGGGGCATATGGTAAAAATAAATAGGGAGAGAAGGTTGGGGAAAGAGAGGAAGGCTAGGCTGGGGTAGGGAGTTTGGACATCATTCTCTGGGCAGTTGGGAGCCATTGATGGTTTTGAATGGTTTAATGATGTGATGTTGGGCACATACTTCTTATTACAGTAAGCTTTTCTATTTCTGTTTCCCATGCCCCTCATATTCGTTCTGTAAACAACCCTGTCCTATTTATAGAGTAAATCCTAGGCTTACCCTCTCTTGACAGTCTCTGCTGCCACTAGGCTCACCCCGATCACTACTATTTCTCAACCGGGCTGCCATGGCGGCTTCTTCTGTGGCTTGCTGCTTTCACTCTGGCCCTGCTGACCAGTGCAGAATAAAATCTGTCAATGTCGGGGTGTAAGCCCTGCATCATCTTTTCATCACACTTGGAGTAAAATCCAAACTCCTTGCTGAACCCATAAGGCCTTGTATGACCTGCCTGACCTGGCCCTGCCTTTCTCTTCACTCCCCTCTCTCTTGACTCTCACTACTCTAGTATCCTTTGTGTGTTCTGAACACCCAAAGCCCTTCCCATCTCAGAGTCTGTGCATTTGCTTGGTTCATTTGCCCAGGATGTTCTTTCTCCAGATCATCCCAGATTAGCTTCTTACCAAAAGATGCCTTCTCTGCCTCTTGATGTAAAGTAATCCCTGCCCCAGTCACACCCTCTACCATTTACTAGGACTCATTTTCTCCATAGCATGCTTGCTCTTGTCTGGATGGGTTTCCTTATTGATTTGTGAGTGCATTACCTGACCCCCAACCTGCTCAACTGGATCTGAGCAGGGACTTCATTTTGCTCACTGCCATATTGCCAGTACCTAGAAAAGTTGTGACACATAGTACATATTTATTGAATTAATAAATTTAGAGATTTGAAGAACCGGAGCAGGGAGGCCAGACTGGAGCAGTGTGTTCATCATGATGAGAGTGTATGTTCAGAGCCTTCTCAGTGGAAGTGAAGGGGCAGAGGCAGGTAAAAGTGTGCAACCTTCTGAGGGAACTGGCAGGATCTGACGTGGTTTGAAGTGTTGAGTCATTGCAAAGAAAAGGAGTAGAGACATTTGAGCTTGAATGAGTTATGAGACACCCAGGATCCTTTTGGATGCTCTCAATCAGCCATCATTTCAGCCCTACCCTGTTCCCCAGCCTTCAGAAGAACTTGAAGCCTCCAATTTCTTTTTGGGTTTTATGAGAAAACGGAGTGGTTTTCTATAGGTGTCCCCTCACTCCAACCAACCTCACCCCTCCCAGGGAAGCTTAGGTTTCAGCTTTCACAGATCTGCTAGGTAAGCAACTAACTACTTATCTATTTTCTTTCCATTTTTTAAAGGGTCAGTTTTCTTCTTCTCTGTCATTTTCCTTGTCCTTATTTGGCTGTGCCTTTTTTTGTCTTTCCCCTCAGCTTAGTGGGGTTTGAGGAAGGAGTGAACATAAATGCATGCATTTAATTCACTAAATTTAACCAGAGGTTCCCTCCAAATCCAATTTTATTTTTTACTAATTTCTTTGATAGTGCTTGGGTTAATTCAGCATTTGTTCTTTATGTTCTCACTTGCTAGGCCAGACATTTGAAGATGTTCTTAGGGAAGAAAATTGAGGGGTTTTAAAATGTAGTCCTCTGCCCTGCCTGGTGCTTTGTTGGTTAGAGCGTTGTTCCAAATAGGCCAAGTTTGTGGGTTCGATCCCTATTCAGGGTACGTACAAGAATCTAGCAATGAATGTAACACGAGTAGAGCAACAAATCCATGTATCTCTCTCTCTTTAAACACCAGTAAAACTTTTTTAATGTAGTATTCTTGAAATGTTCACAGTGCTTAAGTGTGTGAGATTTCACAGAGGCCCAGTTTATTTCTAACCTCTAGACTCTCATAATAGAAATATAGTTTCACCCTTATTTGCGTGAACCATTAGGAGCATTTTAACATGTTTGAAATAAAGTTTGTAGCTTATTGTTTAAAATTGAATTTAAGGTAGTAAATCAGAGCTTTTGGTGGCATGCCCCTGACAGCAGGGAGAGACTGGTAGGTGATCCTTAAGAGCTGATCAAAGAGAGTTGCCAAGCATTTTTTCCTGTATTTGTGTTTGGTCCTTTAATCTGGTAGTGTTTCCATTTCCATTCTGAATACAGTAATGCACACTCCACCCCCCCCCCACTCACGTCTTCTTGGCAGCGTGTGACACTGTCTCTGCCAAAAGACCCCTGTTAAGACATCAGCCTGCCTTTGCTATCTAGCATATACAAGGTAGGGACAATGGTGATTGTCAGGAAATGGGCATCATTCAAAATCTTATGCATACCACATTTTTGTTCTAGTAATCAAATGAAAATTGAAAATGAAAATAGTAAAATTTCCTGAGAAGTGATTACTAGTCATTTCTGCCTAGGTTCACCTTTCCTGGCCAGTGAAGATGGTGTGCTTGGAGGAGTGATTGTTCTCCGGTCTTGCAGCTGTTCTGCAGAGCCTGGCTCCTCCCAAAATAAGCAGACACTTCTAGGTAAGCTGGACATAAACACTATATGTGTGTCTTTCTCTTTCATTTTTTTAAGACATGGAAAGATTTCTATCCTTAAGTCAATAAGCTATGGGAGGGCCAGAGTGCTCTGTTGACATGTAACCTTCTCTTTCTACTGATCTTTTTGCAGAGATAAACATCTAAAAGATGAATGTTTACTTCTGAGTCTATGCTTAGAGCATATTTTTAAAATGGGCTTGGAACCAAGGACCTTCACTAAAGCCCAATATTAAGAATATTGGACCATGTATTTATCCCCTGCCTTACTCCACAAAACATTTGAGATGACCCATAACAATGTACATAATAACATAGAAAGCTTCTTCCTGTTCTTCCTCCCAAAAAGGAATCAGAACCACGTGAAGAGCTGCTGGTCTAGAAATCCATCCTGGCTCCATCACTTACTGGCTGTGACACCCTCATGCATCACTGCTCTGTGTCACTTCCACATCTGTAAAATAAGGATGTATGCCATGTCCTTCTAATAAAGTTGTGGTGAGAGGGTCAAATGAGCATTTTTCAGATTTGCAGATGTTCATCCAGATGTGTGATAAAACCCAGCCTGCCCTCCACTTGCCATGGCCCAAACTTGCAGGGCTACCTCTACCCACGGGTTGCCTTATTCTAATTCATTCATCCAGAGCAGCATTTTTATTTATTATTATTTTTATTTTATTTTTAAAAAAGATTTATTTATTAGATGAGAAGGGAGGGAGAAAAGAGAGGGAGAGAAACACTGATGTGAGAGAGAAACGTCTATCTTGAACCTACCCCAACCAGCACCAAACTTGCAACCCGGGCATGTGTCCTGTCTGGTAATTGAACCAGTGACCTCTCAGTTTGCAGAACAATGTCCAACCAACTGGGCCACACAGGTCAGGGCCAGAGGGGACATTTAAAAAAATCTGCATAAAGATGCCACATAAATTAGTAGAGAGCTCTATATATTACTTTTTAATTGACTTTTTAATTGAGGTGTACAAACATTCAGAAAAGTGCACAAATAATAACTGCACCTGCTTGATGAATTATCACAGTGAACCCACCCATGTAACCAGTCCCCAGATAAAAATAGAACTTTACTATAACCTCAAAAGATCACTTGTAATACCTCTCAGTCTTACCCCCTCCAAAGTTGACCACTATGCTGACTTCTACATACTATGATTAATTTTGCTTGGTTTTATATTTTATTTAAATGGAATTGGGGAATGTGTACTATTTATGTCTGATGTGTTCAGTCAGCCTTAAGCCTGTTAGATTCATCCATGTTCTACATGTTAGTAGTTTGTTCTTTTCTCTTGTTATATAGTATTTCCTTGTATGGATGTACCAATGTGTATTTATCCATTCTTCTCTAAGTATTTTTTAATATAAACAGGTGATTAACAGGAGCTGTGGTAGTTAACCTCTTTGTATAAATTTCCTTATAGGGAATATGGGTGGTACCTGACTTGTATTGTATGATTGTTGTGAATTGCTGTAATAAACTTGAGGATCTGTGAGTATAAAGTAAAAGACTGGGTATATCTCATGAGCATAAAAAATATTTTTTCTATAGAAGCCCAAAGGGCTTTCATATAATCTTTCCCCTCATTCCTCAAAGGAAAAAATAGCACCTTTGTGTAAAGCAGGGATATCAAACTCATTTTCACCAGGGGCCACATCAGCCTAGCGGTTGCCTACAAAGGGCCAAGTGTAATTTTAGGACTGTATAAACGTAACTACTTCTTAACAGTTAAGTGAGGGCTTGGCACTGCTCCCGGTGCGGGGGCCTGGATAAAACATGGTAGAGGGCCTGATTCGGCCTGTGGGCCCTGTGTTTGCCACCTGTGGTGTAAAGTATCTTTCTTCACCAGGATTCTGACCACCAACCTTATTGTTTTGCTGGTGGTATTCTCTTTCTCTTGCTACCCATTGTGCTTGGTACTAATGTTGCTCCCAGGAAATGTTTTTTTTTAAATGGTCACTTTTTGTTAAACCAAGCCATTTGCTTTTTTGGTATCTTAACCATTGTTGAATCCTTTAAATATCTTTCCCAGTTAGAAAGCAGGGAGTTTGCTTTTATGTACCTGGGCCTTCCAAAAGAATTCAGAATAATGTTTAGTACCAGCAGGTGGGAGGACAGTTACTAAAACTACCTCAGGGACTGTTCCTAGGACTGGGAGTCGGTTCTTTAATGAGTGTGGATTCTTGCCCATTTGAGTTAATCATGAAAATGATAAGGTATTTTTGGGGTTACAGTATAGAGATACATATTTAAGGATAAGTCATAGAATTTTCGCTTATGTTAAATAAGTTTTATCAGTAAGGTAGTAACTTGTAAACTGGTTTCTACTCTCAAGAAGAGGAGTGAAATGTGTTAATTTATGAACTAAGTGAAATATTGTCATTTGTTAAAGTGAACAGGAGGGATTGATGTTTGTGAGATTTATCTACTAAAATCTAGTGAATACTAGTATCAACTTGTAGATGCTACAAACAACATGAATTTTTATATTCTTTGCTTTAAAAAGTTATATATGTTCAGTATGCAGTAAGAAAGCAAACGCAGTACAGAAATAAATGTAGGGAGGGAGATGTGAAAGTCACCTTTGGTCCCCCGCCTCTCCAGAGCCACCACCCTCTGGTTCTGGTTATTCTCATAGGAAATATTTTCACTCTATAGAATGTGTTCATGCTTCTGTTTCTGGATTAGTCAGTAATGTATGACTCCTTTTGGGTAAAAAATTAAGAATATAATTCACATCACAATGTCTGACTTTAGCTTTTTCTGTGTCTACTCTCTTTTCTGAAAAAATCATAGCATTTTCATCACACCACAAAAGCAGTTTCAATAAAATGGCATTGCTACTTAGTATTGTCCGGAAAGACAGTATGAGCCACTCCTCTTGATAAATACATCAATTACAAGAGTCCCAGTGGGACCCTTCAAGCATGGGATGACTGAAATACAGGCACTTTCAGGATTTGTTTTCCTTTACTGGTTCATGAATAGAGTTAGAGAATCTCAGGTACAAAGAAAACCTCAAAGTCCTCTTGTGTGACCTTATTACATGTGTTTTGCCCATAAGCTGTTGGCAAGAAGTGAAGCTTAATTCCTCTTCTCTTGAGATTCTCTTCCAATTCATAAAAACATGGCAGAGTAACCGTGTGCAATTTGTGAGGTGAGGTAAAAAAAAATGCATTGTGGCTCCTCTGAGGCATCTCGCTCTCTCTGCTGGATCCCTCACTCTGGGAAAGGCCAACAGTTGTTTTGTGAGGATACTCAAGCTGCACATGACAAAAAACTGTGAGCTCCTTCCAACAGTCAGTGAGGCAGGGAGGCTGAGTGAGCCTTCAGCACTGAGTAAACCTCAGCTCTGAGTGAAACTTCAGATGACTGCAGCCCTGGGCAGATTTCTTGATTGAAATCTCATGGGAAACCCTGAGCAAGAACCATCCAACAAACAAAGCCACTCCTTAATTTCTCACTCACAGAAACTGATATAATAAATGTTTGCTATTTTAAAGATTTTATTTATCTTTAGAGGGGAAGGAGAGAGGAAGAGAAACATCAATGTATGGTTGCCTCTAGTGCGTCCCCTGCTGGGAACTGGCCTGCAGGGAACTGGCCTGCAACCCAGGCATGTGCCCTGACTGGGAATTGAACCACAATCCTCTGGTTTGCAGACCTGCGCTCAATCCACTGAGCTACACCAGCCAGGGCTGCTATTTTAAACTACTATATTTTGTGGTAATTTATGCTGCAATGGATAACTAAAAAACTTTTTGAATCCTCTCACCGCCAGATGCCTCTCTAGTTTGTCCAACAATCTACAATGACAAGTCAAGATGCTGTGTTGCATCTTTAGGCAACTCAAATGGTCAGACTTCAGTTTGCATTACTGGATGCTGGTTCTCTTTGGATGCTCTGGGACAAATGTGATCAGTGCCCCCCACTTTGCATGACCTAACCACTCTTTCCCAAACTCTCCTTCCCACCTCCACTCATCTCCCACCTTCATGCTGTCACCAGACTTCTCTCTCTATGGAGAACTTAACTATGGCCTGAAAAAAAGGAAGTGAGGAGAGAAGCATACTGTCCTGAAGCAGAAAGGCCAAAAAGAGAACCCGACCCAATTATGACTTGAGAGCTACACTAATCCCAGGATTGGAGGGATGCTAATGGTCAAAACAAGAACCATACAAGCATATGTAGTTAGTCTATATGTCTAAGCTAAGTGTTGAATAACTTTCTATAAAAGCAAAATATATATTTCTCATCCTCATGGTCTTTTAATTCTTCAGTGAGAACACACACACACATACTCTCTCTCTCTCTCTCTCTCTCTCTCTCTCTCTCTCTCTCGCACATTTGCACCTCTGCTTCTCATTCCCCTACAAGAGGGATGTGAACTACTTACCTTGATGGGAAATGCACTTCCCCCTTATGACCCAAGAACACACTTTTAGTGTTGTTTCTGACTACTATTACTTTTTCTCCACTGGTTTTCAGAGCCCCAAATTCTGGCCATTCTAGATTGCTTTGTTCTCTTCAAAAGGTTCATGCTTTTTCCCTAGTAACTTTTAAAAATTCAATTTATTGGGATGACATTGGTTTACAAAACCATATGGGTATCAGGTGTACAACTCAACAAAACATCATCTGCACACTGCAGTGTGCACCCATCACCCAAAGCAAAGTCTCTTTCTATCTCCATTTATACCCCCTTTGCTTATCTCCACCTACCTCTGTCCCCTTTCCCTCTGACTGTCACCACATTGTTATCTGTGTCTGTGTGTTATATGTAAATTTTTTAGCTTAATCCCTTCACCTTCTTTTATTCAGCCCCACAATCCCTGTCTCCTCTGACAGTTCTCAGTCTGTTTTGTGTATCCATGCCTCTGTTCCTGTTTGGTTCATAAGTTTATTTTGGTCGTTAGATTCCATGTGTTAGTGAGATCATATATTTGTCTTTCTCTGACTGGCATATTTCACT